CATAGTTGCCTAATAAAAAAATCTTAAATCTTTAAGTTTAATAACTTCGGTTTAAGTTAACATTCTGGCAAATTAAAACTTTAAATGAATACATAATAACCTAAAAATCAATGTGCACCTTGATTTCTTGAAAAACAATAAAGAAAAAAAAAGTTTTTATTATTTAAAAACTGTGCACAAATGATTTATTTTATTTATTATTTATCGATAAATTCAATTTTCCCTTTCGTAAATATAGAGATATTTATAATGGCATTCATTCTTTCATTTAATTGTAACCATCAAGTAAGATTTAGTCTAATAACTTAAACAATATTTCCGTTAAAGTCACTTGTATTTACTTTCTGGTAAGTCTTTAATATCAATCATTAAATGAGACAATTTACAAATGAAAGAAATTGAAGTATGACGTTGTGTATTAAGGTGGGAATTGCACTAAATCCGACCTTATTACAGAAACCGCAACTTGGACTGATGATGATGGAGCATACTTAACAAAGATGCTTACCTTTGATCTGATTTTTTAGTTTATCATCCAAAGAATGCATGCAAAATGTTCGACCATTCAAAAGCTATTAAAGTATCAACTTGATAAATTTTACTTGGATCCTGATTATGAACAAACATTTACTCTCTAGGAGTGTCAAAATCAATAAAATCTTGATACAAAATTCATAAAATAAATATAAATATTGTTTCAATGAATTCAAGGTGGATTGATAAAGTGGATGTTAATAAGAAATATTTTACCATTTTGAATAACATTGAGAGAGAAGCGAGATGGATTTGCTCCTAAAACTTTTCAGTACAAAATGCGATAATGGGCCCATTATTGTAAGGAACAGAAGAAATAATTTGTGGATACAATCCTTTAACATAGAAATTAACTAATGGTTGGGATAAAACTAAGATAGTTTTATATTTTCTTTTTAATCATAAGACTTTATCAAAAATGCGATATTTAATAATGCAATGCTAACGTTAAGAATATGAATTACGGACCAGAATTTGGAGATGTTCTTGAAATTCGGTCACAAAATAAACTAACTGATTACGATAGATTGTCGGATGAAAAAATGATAAGAGATACTTTCTTTAAATGATTATAATTAAAAAATTTTGGTTAATTTTTTAAAAATTATGAAAAAATAAATTTGGTTTATAACGTCTTGTTCGAATATTTGATTTTTTTATAAAAGATAAGTTAAAATTTGTAATAAATTTGTACGAGAAGCGGATTATCTTGAAAATTTTAATAAAATTGATTCAAACAGATGGAAGTTATTAATATTTCGTTTTCATTTGAAGTTATGAATACGTGTGCATATGAATATTCATGACATGCTCCAATTAAAATAATATATTTAAAATATTTAATTATTGAATTATTTTAAGTGAAATACAGGTATATTTGATAGTGGCATTCTTTATTGGACGGGCTAGAGAAGTATTGATAACTTTTGAAGAAAATTTTTTTTGACTTTTTATAATTCTATTCTAGCGTTACATTGAAATATAATGTCGTCCGAAATCTCCATATTTATAGTTAGTCTTTTGAAGATCATTTACAGGCTGTCCTAATTATTATTTTTTTATAATTACGCTGAAATCCTTAAACAGCTAAGTATACGCTCGCCCTTATTATAATTTGCATACATTCACCTCGAAATCCTCCCTTTAACACCTTCGCGATATTTTCGCTTTCGCCGTTTTAACTTTTTAGATTTCTTATTTGTAACTTCGTTTGTTTTTTTAATTTCCGATTTTATTATTCAACATTTTGTAATATTTTCGTAATGCGCAGTTTTAATTAATTAGAGTTTTATTGATTGGCATTTACTTTAGTTCAATATATTGACAGAGAAAGTATAGAACGCCGACGTTGAGGCAACACTGATTAAATCGATATTATTAAATAAATACTTGTCAAAATTACTTCATTTTTACTCAATTATTATTCAATTTGTACCTTCTGCTTACATTACAAATTGTTTATAAAACATAAACGAAAGAACTGAATACAACACTAGTTATGTTACACAAAATTGCAACACGAATAAACATTTTATTTAAAAAAAGGATTGACATACACTCTTGCGTAAATAAAATTTTTTGGTAAAATTGTTAACTGAAACGAGATATATATTTAAAATAGACTTTGAAGTATGTCATCGGAAGAAAACGCCAGTATGTACTGCATTCACAAGGGGAAAAAAATAATCTTTTTGCTCTATTTAAACTTGAAGGGTAAATTTTTTTTTTTAAAAAACTTTGATAGTTGGAATCGATTTGGGGTCGACATATTCATGTGTCGGAGTCTGGCAAAATGATAGAGTTGAAATTATTGCCAATGACCTGGGTAACCTTCATATGTCGCTTTCACCGAAACAGAACGTCTTATTGGAGATGCTGCTAAAAATCAAGCTAGCATTAACCCTCAGAACACTGTATTTAACGCTAAACGACTCATTGGTCGTAGTTTTAACGACCATGAAATTAAAACTGATTTAGAGGTAACAATTGTCTTATCAAATATTTTGATCCACCTTGCATTTTTCATTCGTATTTTATTTTTTTTTTTAATTAGCACTGGCCATTCAAAGTTATTGAAAAGAATGAGAATCCATATATTCAAGTAAAATTCAAAGGCGAAAGGAAGAATTTCACACCCATAGAGATTTCTTCTATGATATTAATAAAGATGAAGAAAACCGCAGAATCTTTTCTAGGTTCAAAAGTTAGTAATGCCGTGATAACGTCGCCAGCTTGCTTCAATGATTCTCAACGTCAAGCGATAAAAGATGCATGTGAAATCGCTGGTTTGAAGGTATTACGCATAATTAACGAGGCAACTGCGGCAGCTATCGCTTATGGTTTGGACAAGAAACATGATGGTGAACGAAACGTTCTCATTTATGATTTAGGTGGTGGTTCTTTTGATGTTTCACTTCTAACTATCGAAGATGGAATTTTCGAAGTGAAAGCTGTTGCTGGTGACACGCACCTTGGTGGTGAAGATTTTGGCAATTTACTTGTAAATCATTGCGTGCAAAAATTCCAACGCAAATATAAAAAAGATCTTACAACAAATGCACGATCTTTCCAACGATTGAGAATTGCTTGTGAGCAAGCTAAGCGTGAACTTTCATTTTCATTACAAACTTGTATTAAAATAGACTCTCTTTTCGAGGGTATAGATTTCTATACCAACTTAACGCGTGCTAAATTTGAACAATTGAATCGAAGCTTGTTTCAGAATACGATGGAACCTATTGAAAAAGTACTACGAGATTCTAGAATCGACAAAAGTCAAATTCATGAGATCGTCCTAGTCGGAGGTTCAACACGCATTCCAAAGATTCAAAAAATGGTATCCAAGTTTTTCGATGGCAAAATACCAAACAATTCCATCAATCCTGATGAGGCCATGGCATATGGTGCTGCCATTCAAGCCGCTATTTTATCTGGTGATACTTCAGAAAAAACTCGAGATTTTCTTTTACTCGATGTCACCGCTTTATCTCTTGGTTTCGAAACTTCCGGTGATGTCATGATGCCGCTTATAAAGCGTAATACAACTATACCTACTAAGAAATCAGAAATTATATCCACAAATTCTGATAATCAACCAGGAGTGATGATTCATATTTATGAAGGTGAACATGCCCGTATTAAAGACAATAACTTTCTTGGTAAATTCGAATTAACTGGAATTCCGACAGCACCAAGAGGTTTGCCGCAAATTGAAGTCACATTTGATATTGATGTAAACGATAGTTTAAACGCATGTATTAAATATTCAACTATAATTATTATTGTAATCATATTATAATATTTTATTAATTTGAATTTAATTTTAGGTCTCCGCTGTTGATATAATGACTGGAAGATCGAACAAAATAACCATCACGAATGACAAAGGTCGATTGTCAAGGAATGAAGTCGCACGTATGGGTATGGGATGTGATCAAATTCTAATATTTTGTAATCAATAATCTTTTGCTAATAAAAATTGTAATTATAGTTGCTGAAGCCAAGCTTTATCTCGAAGAGGATGAGAAAGTTGCCCAAAAAATACGGGCACGAAATCGGTTAGAAAGTTATGTGTTTGAGATATGTAACACACTTTATGTAAGTTTTGTTTGGCATTTTAATTATTATATAGGTAGGATATTTTAAATCTAAATTATTCCCTCATTCAATAGGATCAGAAACTTGCTATGAAACAACTTGAAGATCAAATCGAAAAGTCAATTACATTGCTTGAAAATAACAAACATGTAGGAAAGGAGGAATATGATAATATACAGAGGTCACTTGAACAAGGTGTCGACCAAATAGTAATGCGATGGCGTTGATAAGCTATATATCATCCATCATATTATGTAAATCGAGATAATAAATTTTGGAAAAAGTTTAAAAAGCTATATTAATAAGTGAATCAATTAGTTTTCGTATAAAATTTATTCTTCATAATTTTCAAATAAAAAAATCAATATTTTTCGATTAACGATGATTCACATTGATAATGTTATAAGAATTTCTTATAGACAAAAATAATACTTCATTCAATGAAGAAAAATAAATGTTAATTGATTAGTATTTAAAGATTTAAACGTCATACGATTTCTGCATGCTTGAATCTTTAAAAATTTAATTTTGTTATGCATTAATTATATATGAATGTACGAAAATTTAATTTATATTCTTTATATTCTTATTGGTTTATGAAATGTTGCTGTTCATGAACTGGTTCGGATGAATGAAAAAAGGCGGGAAATTTTGTTTATGGTAATGTAAATCTTCCAAATATGGAGTAATTGCCGATCCAAAAAAAAATCTATAAAATATTTTAAAATGAGAATCATTTCTTCATCAAAAAAATCAATCATTAAACAAATTATATCAATTCAATAAATCCATTCTTTTTTTAAAATGTCTTCTAAGCAAACTTATACAGATAAGGAAGCCTTTTTCGTTGATTCATGCGAAAGTATTAAAATTGAAGTCTTACATTATCCCCCTGATAATATAATTTTGGTAAGTTTTAGTCCTTGAAGTTCTTTATATAAAAGATTGTTATTATTAATGAAAGTGTTATTAATTGTATAATAGAATCATCCACCAATTTTATTCATTCATGGAATAATTATCGCGGCCTGGGCTTGGGATAATTTTTGTCGCTGGTTCTCGAAAAAAGGACATGATTGTTACGCTATGAGGTAAATAAATTGTCACGAAACTAAGGCTTAATGGAATCTTAATTAAAAAAAATGATCTTTTACTTTAGTTTTCGAGGACATGGACAAAGTACAAAGACTCCAAAGAAAGATAAATGGTGGTCATTAAATGAAATCACAAATGATGTATCAGCCGTAACTGATGCAATAATTGCTAGGACCGGTTATAAACCTGTTCTCGTTGGGTAAATATTAATAAACTTTTCATCATTAAAATTTTTATATTGACGTTGATTTATTTTCATTTTGCTATTAGTCACTCACTTGGAGGTGGAATTGTTCAAAATTATCTTAAAGATAATCATCAGAAAGTGGCGGGTGGAATTTTATTTGCATCAATTTCACCGTACAGCTACAGGACAGGCTCCTTCAAATTCTTTCTTAAATTATATTCAAATATTCCAATTCTTGTTATCCTTAAATCGCTTTTTACATTAGAACCGTATGCAGCAGTTGGAACTCCTAAATTAGTGAAGAGAAGCTTTTCTAAAGCATTTCCTGAATCTATGGCTATAGAACTTCAACCAAAGTTTGAGAAGGCTAGTTTTGTCACTGGATTGTTGGAAGTTTTTAAGTCATTTGTGGATCCTTCAATAATTAAATGTCCTATGATTGTGATTGGCGCTGAAGAGGATAAAGTATTTGGTTTAAAAACTATAGAAGAAACTGCTGAAGCTTATGGTGTTGGATTTGATATCATTGGTGGTGCTTCTCACAATATTATGCTGGACCTTACATGGGAGGATGCTGCAAATGTTATTTTCAATAGGATCCAAGAAAGGGTTGTAAAGGAATAATTTTCAATGAATTAACTAAATGTTAATCAATCATTACTGCGCCATTCGTATCGGTTATTATCGTTTATCGATTATTTAATTCTCTTAATAAAAAAAGGTTTTTAAAAGATTAAATTTGAATTTAATAATAATTCAAGTCCTAATGTCTACAAATTTCGCGAGTGGCGCAGCTTTACAATTATGTTGCGCCATTTACGTTTTGTTTCTTTATTTTTTTTTAAAGCATCTTTTTTCTACAATTTTTGTATCCTTTCTTCGAATTAATAATAAATCGTAAAGAAGCTAAAAAGAGCCATAACAGCAATTAGGCCGTCAAAATTTCTCAGTTTTGTGTAACATCAGTCGAAAAATCTAAAATTAGAATTTAGAAATGATCAACATGAAATTTGGAAATGATCGACATTATTGTTAAAAAGTTTCCGACCCTTATAAAATTAACCATAACCATTATTTGAATGTGTGATTAAATGGGAGGTATTTAATACTACAGCAAATTTATATATATTTTTTTTAAAAAAATAATATAAAAATTGAATTTTTAATAGCTTAGCCCCTCCATATAGTTAAAAGATTAAAACTGAATATGTGAGAAATTTATTAATTAAAAAATAATTTGTTTTGAGTTCATGAAACGTATAAAATCTATTATTTAATGCAAAATTTATTTTCAGGTAATAAATTAAATAAATTATCAACCATTTAACTCAAATATAAAAATTATAAAGTCATTTCATTTTTAATAGAATTTTGATGAATTTGATGAAAAATAGAGTATGAGTGTTGTAATATTAAATTTTTTTCAACTATTCTAAGGAATATATTTAAAAAATTCTGATTGATATGAAAATTGTATTGTAACATTTAGGTTTGTCTACCAAAACATTAATTCTTTTTATAAATTTTTTTAAAATCATAATGACATTTAGCTTTGAAATTCAAAGTTTAAAACAAAGTTTCATGATATAATTAAATAACAAAAATAATGTAAAATATAAAATTTAAAGAATAAATTAGCATTTATAATAAAATTCAAATTAGATTTAATAAACATTTTCATAAATTTCTTTTATGATGTTTAAACCTTTATTAAAGTTTACAGATATAATTATTTTTTTGAAAACAGAAATATCATTTGAAATAATAATTTTATTGGAATTTCACAAATTGCAAATTGTTTTAATCAGAATATAAATAAAAAAATTTGCTGTTATAGTGTTATAGATACATCCTAATGCACTTTTCACTAAAATAGGTAAAAAAAAATACTTATTTAGATTATTTGATAACTTCAAGGATATTTATCAACATACCTTTTCAACTAAAATTTAAGAAAAATTTTATTTTACGATCACCATTACAAAATTTAAACAATTTAACTTTGATTATAATATCATAGAGATTAGAATTAATTAAAATGATTAATATATTAAACGGTTAATTATAACTCTAATCAAAATTTAATTTTCGTTCAGAATTAAAATTATTATTATTTGTTGAATATTTGCTAACTTTGAGCTAAATTTATAATATTAGCTTAAGTTAATTTAATCATTTAATTAACTAGTCAATAATATTTTAACCAGTTATTAACTGGTTAAAAATGTATCTAAAAATCTTTTAATAAATGGTAATGATTAATAAATGATTAAAATTAAAATCATAATATATAATATATTATAAATCACATGATTTATAAGTGATAATATAATAATTAATTTAATATAATTTATAATAGACAAACTTTAAAAGATAAAAAAGGACAAGATTTTAATTAAAAATATAAAGAAAATAGTAAATTATTATTATCTTTTAACTGATTGAAGTTGTGATGTGTGACTATACTAAAAATAAGTTATATGATCTAAATGATCGATATAGTTAATGAAGTTGATAAAGTTGCTAAAGTTGTTAACATTAATCAAGTGGATAAATTAGATAAATGAATTATAGTTATTATCTTTATTAATTATATCTTATTTATTATATATATTATATTATATTTATTATAATTATATTATTTATTCTTTTTATTATATTTGTTGTTGTTGATTTTATATTATTTCATTTTATATAAATATCTTGTATTTTCTTTTGAGTTGAAAAATAACTCAAGTTGAAGTTTAAGGATAACCAAAAGTTCAATAAAGGAATCATTAAATTTATTTACTATTGCTTTTTGTCATGTCTTTATATAGGCGTAATTGTGATATTATCTTGTATTTAATTCAACAGATTGAATTAAAAGTTTATCATTTAAGTTTACAGATACCAAGCTAACAAAAGTGGTGATTCTTGCCAGAACTTCTAGCTTTTTAGTAGATGAATTTTGATCTTTACCTCACATTATAATGAAATCATATTCAACAACACTCTAAAAACAGAAATTACTTATCAACTGACTACACTTGTATTATTTGTTATCTAACTTCAGAAGAAGTATCTTTACAATTCAAACATTTTTGGAATTGATTAGCACTGAATTTGGTGCTCTTGAATATACTGAAAAACAGTAACTTTATTTGATCAGTATTAACAACATATTAGTAAATTACAGCTCATTAAAACTCTTAAAAAAGAAGCTAAATTATTGTTATATAGCTTAACCTTCGCTAACCCTTTTGATTTTAGATTTAACTTTGACTTTATTACTATTCGTATATTAGAAGAATCTTATTATTCAGTCAAGTTTGAACGTATTATAGCAACTAAATTACAATCTTTAGTATCTCTCTCATTAGAACCCTTAAGAAGAAACATAATGAACACAGATCAATTTAATGTTTTCATTAATTAACTTACAAACTCTATTGATCAACTCACTCAGAAGGTCCAAAACAGACCAGCATAATGACCACCTGCAAGGAAAACTAATTTAGTCTCAGTAAAATACTTCTTAGGAAAAAGTGAAGAGAATCCATTTGATTGGATTGCCTATTTTGAGAAAGTCGTAAAGGCTAACAACTGGACTAATGAAAGAATGATTGAAATTACTAAAGGATTTCTTGATCATGTAGCTGCTGATTAGTACGAGAATACTACATTTGCTCAAGGTTGAAGAGTTGGAGAAGATGAAGATGATGCTAAGATCTATCTAAAAATAATTTTTAAATAAAAATTTAGATAATTTAAATACTAGTATAAAGAATAATTAAATATTAATAATAAAAAAATAACTTTCTTCCTTTAATAATAATTTGTTTTTTTGTACTTAAATTCATAAACTATTTCTCTATAATTGAGCAACAAAACAAATGGTATTATAAACTCAATGATATTCTTCAAGAAAGAGATGAAAAAGTAGAATCATACTCTAATATATTTAAGAGATTAAGAAAAAAGGTAGACTCTGATAGTAATCTCCCAGAACTTTATATTATTAGGTTATTCTTAAAGGGATTAAAAAAGGATTTAGTGCGATATGTTACTGCTAGTAAATCTGTGAATATTAATGAAGCAATTTAAGAGGCTATCGACTATGAGACTGGAGTTTATTTTGAAAGATAAGCTGAAAGACAGGAATGTTAAATAGATCAAAAAGCTAAAGCTCCTACAAATGATGCTCTTGAAACCCTAATGAAATAAATAGAAAAGCTAACTCTTAATTATACTAATATTATTTTAACCTTGAATGTTCAAACCCAAATGAGACCTAGAACCACAGGACAGAAATCAGATAAATCTCAAATTACTTATTTTAATTGCTAAAAAAAAGGTCACTACTTTAGAAAATATGACTTGCCTTCTAAAAAGAGAAAGGATGCAAATATGATCAAAATTTATTCTGATCTTGATTCAAAAGATGAGAAAGAAGATTATGAAGAGGTCTATGCTACTCCAAAAGTAAGGTTCACTCTATATACTACTAATAAGAGAGAAGTAAAAGAAAGAAGCAAAAAGGCTTCTGAATCTCAACAAGAAAAAATAGAAATATAATTAAACCAATTCCTCTCACTACTTTGATGAATATTAAAGAAGGGATTTTAACTCTAAAGGTTAAGAAATCTCGAAGAAAAATATCACATACTCCTTTTGCTATTGACCAATTAGCTTCTTATAATATCGCTGAAGATATTCTCAATTTACCTTCATCTGCGAAACTTGGATAATGGTTAAAATATTCAGATTAAAAGAGAAATTTAGCTAATGCATTAAAACAAGCCATAATTAAAGAAACTAATAATGTTGACTTTGATGACAAGTATATAAGTAACAATAAGGATATGCTTACAACTGCTGTTAAATATACTATTCAAATTAATCATAGCAATATACAAGCTATTCTTAACTCAGGTGCAGCTATTAGTATTATTACAAGTAGTTTAGTTAAGCGACTTCATTTAAAAATTAATGAATCTTCTAAGATTATTATCAATACAGTAAATGAAAAAAGAGCAAGAACTCTAAGAAAGATTAATACTGTTAAAATAATGATTAGATTTAATCAAATGCTAATAACTTCGCTAGTTTTTGAATCACCTGATGAAAATTTATTATTATAAATAGATTAGTTCAAGAGGATTAAAGCCATTCTTAATTTTGATAAAAGAAAAGTGAAGTTCAGATATCTTACAAAATCTGTTTCAGTTCTAATTACTTTCTATGATAGTTCTTCAGTTGAATTAGATGAAGAATTTGATACCTCTATGGATGAATTAATTGATGCAATTGAAGATTTAACATATGACTAATATAAATAAGAGGATCTTGACAAAAGAAATATTTTTTATTTTCACAGTGAAGAAAATACCTCTGATGAAGAAAATATTTTGATGGAGAAAATCTGTTTGATTTTGATGAAAAAGAGCTATTTGCTAACCCTTGAAATGATAATCCAGCAGTGTTCTTAGCTTAATCTAAACAAATAAAATCCTAAAATAATTAATAGAGTATTCAAGAAGATTTGTATGTTGAACCCTTAGATATTAACAAGAATCCTTTGAGCAATTTATCAAAGAAAATAAAGATATTTATGCTTTAAACCAAACAAAAATTGGTTATAC